CTGCTAAAACTAAACAGTTCCCTGAAAGGCTCAGCCAATCACATTGGCCATATTTGTCACATGACGTAGGACTCCAGCAGAGAACGTAATTTAACTCTTTCTGCTCCGCTGGGTGAATGAGACGCTGACAGATCGTTTTTTTCTTGTTGTTCTTTACTCGAAGAGATCAAATTATTGGTGGGGACAATTCAATAATCGCTGGATATTGGTGGGGACACGTCCCTTCCGTCCATGCCAAATCTACGCCCTTGCCCTATTTTATCTCGCCCTGAACTGGAGATAGCTACACATGCATTTATTTCCTCACGCTTGGACTATAGTAACTCTTTATGTGTCTAAGCAAAGGTTCTCTGGATCGTCTGCAGGTTTTCCAAAACGCTGCAGCTACGCTGTTGACAAAATCCTCCAAGTATTCTCATGTGACACCATTGCTATCTCAGCACTTTGTGATTCTGTCTAGAAAGGTGCTATATAAAAAATTTAAATAAAATGTTATTATTATTTTATGGTGGGATCATCTGACCTCCTCCATAGATCTTTGTTTACAGAGCATTCCTGCCGTACCAGGTTGTGATGCAGCCAGACAGAATACTCTTGATGGTGCATTGATAGAAGCTGGTAAGTATTGTGGGGTCCAGAGTACAAACCTCCAAACCTCTTCAGCCGGCGCAGAAGGAAGTGCTCGCTGCTTTTATGATGACGTCCATGTGATGTGAGCAGCTCAGATCCATATGAGCTTTGTCATCCTCTAAAGAGTGACCTTTGAACTTTAGTTGCAGATGAACAGCCGAGTCTTGTCCCGAGGTGGCTCTTCTATCTTGTGCCATGTATTTATGAGGTGGTTATTTGGTGTCTCCAGTGTAGAGGTCTGAGCACTCCTCGGTACACTGCACAGCTACACCACGTTGTGAAGTTTGTGTCTGAGTGTGTGGCTGGGTCTGAAGTACACTGGGATGTTGTGCTTGGAGTAGACTCTCCTGAGTTTGAGACGGCGTACTCTTTCCATTTCTGGGTTACCATGGCGATGAGTTCTGTCTGATGTGATATGGTGTGGGAGTGGCTTCTACAAGCATTTCATTGATGACGTCCACTGCCCACATGACAGGGTTCCTGGGCCGTTGACTCAGAGTTTTCAGTTTGTCTCATGTCCGGTTTATTCTCTGTTTTCACTCCCTGTTCTTTGTGCCAGCCTTTCCCTGTGTGTTAGTTCAATTATCTTCAGCTGTTCACTCACCAGTCTCCACCTACCTGTGAGTCCTACACACACCCCTGACAGAATGACAAGACCTGTGCCACGAAGACATGTTTGTGACCCAGCGGACTCGGACCTTTTCAAGTAGCAGGAGGCAGTGCTTTCCCTTTGGGTGGAGAAGTTCCAGAGGAAACTGTTATTAATAATTGTTAATAATTTTACCTCCTCACTACGTACGACTCTGGATACTGTAGCTCCTGTGAAAACTAAGGTCTCTAATCAGAAGTACCTG